GCAGCGATACTGGAAATCGCTACTAATTGCAGGTGGAAAACGCAATTAATACACCTGGAAACAACGCAATTAATCAGTTTAATTTACAAGTGTGGAGAAAGCTGTTTGTGCAAACGCTCGATGGTGTTTAAACCCCGATAATCCCCACGACTGGGTATGGTGTGCGCGTTACGGAACGGGAGCTGTGCTTGGAAACCTCATTGCGACCGAACTTTCCGTCATCTCCCTCTTTTTGGTCACAGGTAACCCCTAACCCACCCTGCGCTGAAAGAGGCAGAACTCGGCTTTCCTCCTGTGGGCGGAGGAAGAGGCGTGGAGCGCGGTGTCTCCCCCGGCTTTAGGAGCAATGGGGGCTCCGAGCACGGCTCGTCCCCGTCCCCACAGCCCGAGCGGGGCGGTCCGGTCTCACCCGTGTCCCTTCCGACTGCGGTGCCTCCGGCCATGCTCTCTGAGGACTAATGCAAACAGCAGCAAATTAGGTTTAAGTTTACCCATTGGTTCTGCCGTAATTTCTATTTGCTTTTTGTGTGCTAATTAACCTCGGGGAGGGAAAAAGGGAGGAAAGAAAAAACCCAAACCAACAAATAAACAGTAGGAGGGTTTGGGAGGTTTTACGGCTAAGCCCGTGACAATGTTTGCAATAATTAAGATAGTTATTATTGGATCTTCTTGTTAGTGAAAGCTGCTCTGGTAGCGGAGCCGGGCGTGCCGCTCCCCGTCCGCGCGCCCTTTGCGGAGCTGCCCCTGCCCTCGGGGGCTGCTTTAAAGCTGCGAGGAGGGAGCGAGGGGAAGAGACAAAAATCTGTTGGCAAAACAGGACTTTGTCTGATCGCGAAAAGGCCCGGGGGCTGGAATAGGCGGTAGACAAAAGCCGCTCCCCCGGCAAACAAACACGCGGGGCAGCTGCTGACAGCACGCAGCCACCCGCTCGGTCGCGACAGGCCTGGCTGTCGCAGGGGGCAGCGCTTCGGGAGCCCACTCGTGCTCCCTCGCTGAATTCGGAGTCTCAATTAGCTGGCACGAGAGGTGTGTAATTAAGCCGGGAGTTATTAACGGGGCAGAGCCCCCGGTGTCCCTCGTTGCCGTCGGTGCCCGCGGGGGTGGCGGCCAGACGCCGTTCATTAGCGGGGCTGGTGCGGGGCGGGTGGCCGAGGGGAAGGGGCTAATGGGATTTCACGCATTTCTGCACGGTGGGGAGAGGGGCTGCTGCCGCAAGACCAATAACTTCTTGGCAGATGCTCCTCCGGCGAGCGGGAACGTTGAATATTCATGGAGTGCCCCCGGGTGCTTCAGTCCCCTCTGAAGGGACCTAGCTCGGTGATTTTGTCCCCATCGGGCCACCGGCCTGTTGCATGCCCTTGTGCCAGGAATAGAGGCACACCGCACAGGGAAGTACTGGGATCCCTCAGCTCCGAAGTGCGGCCCAGAGCTCCGCTCCCCCGGCCCCGCCGCCCTATGAGCTCCGTACAGTTCGCTCGTTTGTAACCATAAACGGGAGAAATATCTGTGCGGGTGAAGTTTGCGCCGTGCCGCGGATCCCGCAGCGCCGGGCTCTTTATACTCATTAAGTGCAGCGGCGCTAAGTCATTACCGTAATAAGGAGTTATGCTGAATACAAGGGGCCACGTTTCCAAAGCCATAAATTACAGCTGTCAGTGCGTATTCTAGGGATCAACGGAGCTGGGAGTAATTATTTACGGCGTGCTTTATAGAGCAATTAAAAATTCCCCAAATAGTGTTAATTGCTTTCAGGAAGAGCGGCCCACCCTTTCCGAGCCCGATGAAAGCCGTTGCCCGCCCGGCCCAGACGGGGCGGGGGTTTTGGGGGGCCGTTGCTCGATGAGGGAAACGAGATTCGGAGCTGCGAAACCCGCACGGCTTCGGCTGCTGCAGGGAGATGGAGGGAAGGCGCTCTTCTCTGCCTCTGTCGCGACAGATCGCGACGGACCGAGGCGTGGCTGCTCGCCGAAGGGGCGCGACTCGGCCCCGCATGTTCTGCCTTCGGTAATTGATTTCACAGGGGACGAGGAGGGAGAGAGAGAACTTCGGCGAGTGATGGATGTGCGGAAGGGTGAATAATCGCCCGGAGCCTGGAGAGCCCCCCAGGCAAAAGAAATGAACGAATTAAGGAAGGAAAAAGGGAAGGAGACGCCCGGGGTTGGGGTGCCGGTATTGAAGTGAGGTCTGCCCGCAGCCGTTGCTCGATCCGATTTTAGGGAATAGGGAAGATGTTGCAAGTTCCTGAAAGCGCTGCTCGAAACGCAGTCTTTGGAGGAAGAGCAGCGCTTGCTGGGACGCTGCCAAAGTGCCAGGCGTGCCACTTTTGTCCCCGGTCCCCGCAGGAGGGCTTTGTGTTTCGCAGCAGCTGCCGGGCCGGGGGCAGCTCGCAGCGCTCCTGGGAGCCTCGAGCTCCGGAGAAGAGCGATGTCCGACGGGGAGCCCTCGAAATTCAGCAAAGCAGAAGGAAATGGGAGCAGAGGGTGGAGGTCAGGCCCCGGTTGGGCTGCTCCTCTCGGCTAGTAGGAGGCAGATGCACCGGATCAATGAGAAAACCTGAGAAAGGGTCTCAGACCATTGTGGGAGGGGAGAGAAGCAGTCTCGTCTCCACAACAGGGCTTTTCCCAGTCCCTAACTCCGAGCTGGGGTAAGGCTGAGCCACTGCTTTGGGAATGAGCCTGTTCCTGCAGCTGCTTGAGGGTGGCTGAGGGGGAGCAAAAGTTTCAAGGCTGTGAGGAGCATGTAAGGCTGAGCTGGCTGTCCTGGGACACCTCTGCCACCGGGCTGTTCATTTGTAGGGGCACTGGATGCACCTCAAAGTGAATGCTGGTCCCCATTTTCTCTCCTCTAGAGATGTGAACCTGAAAGCACCAGGACTGGCCCTGACTTGGCCAGGTGTGAGAAATTGTAGCACTGCGTGCAAAGCCCCCTTCAGTCCCAGAATTGGAGAGCTGAACGCAGGAGTGAGCTGCCAGTTCTCACAAGGCAGGGCATTTCTAGAGCCTTGTGCTCTATGGCTCTTTCGAGCCCCAGCCATGGAAACTGAGGCCAGGAGCAGTTTCAGCTGGAGCATCTGAACCAGGCGTTGCCATGGGGCTGAGACAAGCAGTGCGCAAATTCCCAATGCTATGAGCTGCATGGCTTCCCCAAGGCTGCAGGTGAGGTCTTGTAGCCTGCGCAGGAATTAAATCCTGGGGTTGTGCATCATCCCCAAATTCATCAATAATTCCCATCGACCTCCAGAGGTTTGAAACCCCAGCTGCCCCACATGTATAGGGGCAGGAGAAGAGGCTCAGGCTGGTCTCTGGAGAAGGATGAAGGCAACAGCAGACTTGGGGGACTAGAAGGCCCCTGCTTGGGTGCAGCCCCCTGGACCCGCTGGCCCCAGCCCTCGCTCCCTCCCTCCCTTCCCAGCTCCTCCTAACCACAAGGACTTTGGTTGATGGAGCTGGCGCCAGTGAGTTCCCTGAAGAGTTCAGAAGTCAAGAACTGAGGCAGGTATGGGGAGGGGGGAAACCTGACCCCGGCAGGCGGGGGATGAGGCGGCCAACTGGGCACCGAGCTGGGCATGGGTCTGTCAGGAGCTGCTGCCCACTGTACCCCTATAGTGTCCCCACAGTATCCCTGCAGTGTCCTTGCTGTGGGGCTGTGGTAATAAGAAGGCCCCCAGTGAGAGTTTTGGGGTGCCACAGCACCCTGATGCTGGGATGTATGGGTGGACAGACATGCAAGAATGCAGCTGTGCAAGTGACTGTGGAGATGTGGAATTGTGGGGCAGCATGATGAACAAAATACTCATCTCCCCACAGGCAGGTGCAGGAGGTGGTGGTGGTGGCAGCGGTGGTCGTGGAGGCACAACAGAGGGGTAGGGATAAAGCAGGACACAGCCAGGAGCAGCGAGCACCCCTTCAGCCCTCGCCCTGGGGGGAGCAGGAGGAACCAGTTTGTGACCTGGGCAATGAGGCCCCACGGCAAAACCTCACAGCAAGGAAGGTAGGCCTGGGCCCCCCCACCTCCTCCTGTGCTCCCCCCTCCAAGGGCAGCTCCCTCCAGGCCAGGGCATCTATGGGGACCTTCCACCTGTGCCTCCATTCAGGGGTTTGGCAATAGGGGCACATCCTCCTGCTCAGCTTTTGAGAGGTGCTGAGATTTGAAACCGAGAAAACCCATCTGGAATAAGGGGAGAGGCAGAGTTCCATCAGAGCCATTGTTGCTCTCGTTTCTCACGATCTCCGGTACCAAAAGCCCCCTCCTGCCCCGCACCGGGTCCCACTGTTGCTCCTGGGGGAGAACACTGTCTTCCCGAGTCTCCCTTGCCCACCACAACGTCTCCGCACTGCCCTGCACACACCCAGCGCAGCAGTGCTGCCTTTATAGGGCTGAGCCGGCTGGTGAATTTTTTTTTCTTTTCAAGGGGGGGCCGGGGAAGAAGAAACTCCTTTTCTCATGTGCTCCTCTCCGCTGTCATTCACTCGGCTCCTTTCAGCATGCAGCCAATGGAGAGTGAGGGCCTGGGAGCAGCAGGCCTTGGGTAGTGTGATTGATGGGCAAACAGGACGGAGGGGCTCTCGCACACGCACTCCGCCGCTCTCAGCTCCGCGCCGCGGGGCTCCGGCTCCACATTGCCGGCGGGGGCTTCGGCTCCTGGTCCTCGCGCGTCGGTGCGTGGGTGCCTCGGAGGTGGTGGTGTCTTGGGTGGGGGCTCGAGGTGCTATTGGAATCCGAGGGTCTCGGGGTGTGGGCTGCGTCTCCCGCGTGTGCGCCGGCGATGCGTGGCTCTGAGTGTGGGGCTGGCTCGGAGCGGTCGTGCGTGGCTCTGTCGCGGTGTCCCGGGGCGCTCAGCTGCGGCGCGATGGGTCTGAGAGCGTAGTGCCTGCCCGCGCCCGACTCCTGCGTTCTGCTGCCGCTTTCTGGGGTCTGCGCCGCTGTGCCGGGGTCCGGCGGAGTGGCCCCGGGGCTCAGTGCGCGGCTCCGCTGCCGGAGCGAGGACGGACGGCGGAGGCATGGAGCACCTCGGGGCTCACCACCTGCACCAAGGCCAAGCCGAGCCCATCAGCTTCGGCATCGACCAAATCCTCAACACGTCGGAGCCGGGCAGCTGCATGGTGTCCCACTCGCGGCTGCAGGACTCGGCCGATTACGGCCTGGGTTGCATCGTGGGCAGCGCCTACAACACGGTCACCGGCGGCTACGGGGCGAGCGGCGGCGGGGCCGGAGCCTACGGCGGCACTTCGTGCAGTATGGGAACCTTGCCCGGCTCCTACAACGTGAACATGGCGGTGAGCATGAACGGCAACGCTTTGAGCTCGGCCGGGGGGGTGATCCGCGTCCCGGCCCACCGCCCCGTAGCCGGCGGCGTGCACCAGCCCCTCTCCACCGCCGTGCCGCCGGTGAACGGCATGAACAGTCTGACGGGGCTCACCTTCCCCTGGATGGAGAGCAACAGGCGGTACACAAAGGACAGGTTCACAGGTGAGTCGGGACCCCCTCCACGCTCCCCTCCTCGCTGGGCAAGCAGGAGCCGGCGCCGGGCCGTCGGGGCTGGAACAGGCCGGGAGCGCGAAGGGGTGGGAATGTGGGAGCATTCCGGCTGCCCTGCGTTTTATTGTCGTTAGCATTATTATAATTCTTGGAGAAAGGCGGAGAACTCCTCAAGCCCCCGCCGCCCGCACAAGCACCCACCCAAAGTTGCCTCGTCGATCGAGGCGCCGTCAGTAGCCCCGGCCGGCTGAGCACGGTGGTCCCTGTCCGTGCGGCCGCTTCGGTCCCCTCGTGCCCCGCTCCCCGCTGCGCTCAGCCCTTCCCCGACCAGCGGGGACTTTGCACAGCCCCGAGCGGAGTTGGAGCCGCTTCCCGAAGCCGCCACCTTTTCCAGGTGTAGCCGCGCTCGTTTATTATTTTCGGTTTTGTTGTTGTTGTTTCCCCTAACAAAGCAAAAACTCCAACAACGAAAACGAGGAGGAAAAAAACCCCAACCAACAACAAACAAACAAACAAACAGAAAAAAAAACCCAAAAAAATACTAACAACGAATTCGTAACTGGGAAAATTTTCTCGGCCGCGGCACCGGGACCGCTTTTGTCCAAGTTCCCGTTTCGTTTCGCTTCGCTCGCACTTGGCCCCGTCCTCGCCGCCCCGACCCTGCCCGGCCGCACAGCCCGCGAATACTGCGGGTTTTACCCAATTAGTATAAATTTTTTTTTTTCTAATTATTATTTTCGTGGAGAAAAACAAACGAAACGAAACAAAAAAGAAAAGCGAATCCCGTTTTCAACGCTCGAAGTTATTCTTTTGGGTACGAAACGAGCGGGCAGGGAGGTTACCGCCGCGCCGAACCGAAATTACCCCCGTTCCCGATCGTGTGGGACGAGGAGCACCGGGCCGGGCCCTCTGCAATGCTCCCGGATCGGAGCGGTGGATCCGGGCCAGGCCGGACTGCGGGCAGACAGCGGGACCCTCCCCGGCCCCAAACTCCCACTCTCTGCTGCTTCACTGCTGCTTTTTCGTTTCTTCCCCAAAGCGCCGTGCTGCCCCTCCACCCCAACTCCGCCATTGCTTCTCGGTTTTGTTTTGTTTTTTTTCCTTTTTTTTCCTTTCTTTTCTTCTTCTTTTTCTTTCTTTTTTCTTTCTTTCTCTTTCTTTTTCAATTTTTTCGGCCTTAGGGCTGCAGAAAACCGGGTAGAAGCCATGCGAGGAGCTGCCCGCCCTGCCGTGCCCGCAGCTCAGCGGCCACCCCGGGCTCTCCTCCCCTATATGGCCACCGAGGTCGGAGTTTGGTGCCCAGCCGCGATCCTCCGTCAGTGCCCATCTCTGCTCCGCGGCTCCAATGTGGGGGGGTCCCCAGCCCAGTGCCCGGGAGCCGGAGCCCTTGTGCTGATGTGTCGCTGCTTGCTTCTTTGCCTCTCATCCCCCCTTCCATGTCCCCCCCAGTGGCCCTCTCACCCTTCACTGTAACACGCCGTATAGGTCACCCCTACCAGAACCGCACACCCCCCAAGAAGAAGAAGCCACGCACGTCCTTCACCCGCCTGCAGATCTGCGAGCTGGAGAAGCGCTTCCACCGGCAGAAGTACCTGGCCTCTGCTGAGCGTGCAGCCCTGGCCAAGGCCCTCAAGATGACGGACGCACAAGTGAAGACCTGGTTCCAGAACAGGCGCACCAAGTGGAGGTGAGGGGCTGCGGGTCGCAGTGCGGGGCCGCTCCTGGGCTGGGGGATGCGGTGGTGAGGGCACTACGGGTCTGCATGTGCGTGGAGGCACCTCTGTGTATGCACATGGCTGGTGTGTATGTGTGTGTGCACAGCTGTGTGCGTGCAAGCAGGGCATGTGTGCACGGCTGCACGGTGTGAGTGCCTCTGTGTGTAGGCCACGTGTGTGTGCACGCAGTGTGTGCACAAGTGTGACCTCGCATGCAGATGCGTGTGCAAGCCAGCTGTGTGCACACGGATGCTTGTGTGTTCAGCGCGTGTGTATTCAGTGTGAGCACAAGGGAGTGTGTGCAGACAGATGCACGTGTGTGAAGGGGTGGTAGGCACACGGTGTACGTGTTCCTGGGCTGCAGTAAGTGGGACCCCCAACACCCCCAACCTGGAAGAGAGCCCTGGGGAGGCCTGTCAGGGAGTGACGGCTGCGGCTGCACAGCCCCAGTGCCGCATAGGCAGTGGGACCCTCTGGGACCCCTCTGTGCTGGATGGTACTGGGGTGCCTGGGCTGGATCCTGCACCTGGTGCTGTTGGGATATGGAGCCCTGCATATGCTCAGATTTTGCCCCCCGCAGGGCTTACTGCTCCTCCTTGTAAAAATGCGTTTTTTTCTTCCTGGATGTGCCAGTACATGCGGGCAGGAGAGGAGGTCGGGCTTTCATAGAGCTCCCAGTGCTGCAACTTCCCAGGGTGTCCCCGGAGAGGCAGTCAGCTTTAGTGACAGGCTCCAAAGCTGAGTGAGGGGCAGCTGGGTGGCTGTACTGCTGGGTGCAGAACGGAGGCATCTTTTGCTTTTCCTACATGCAAGCTGCCTGAATGGGTGTGCACTGCCAAAGCAAAGGGTTCCAGGCAGGAAAATGGGGCCATGCCTCTCCCCCTGTACTCCCTCCCTCCTTTTCCAGATGGATACTCCTTGCACAAAGGGCTGAATCCTTCCATAGGATACTCAAGCTGATCCTAGGTATTTTGCAAGTTGAAGTTTCGCTCCTGACTGTTTCCATATTTTCTTCAGTGTGGGGGAAATGGGCTTCCCCAGGAGCTGCATGGGTTTGGATGAGCAATGGGGGATATGGAGCTTGAAACCAAGGGGTGAGCCCTCAGCAGTTTCCTCTCATAAAGAGCCCACAGAGGAGAAGCTCCTCCAGCACAGGGAAGCTGTCGGCTGGAGGGGTTTCTGCTGGCTAAGGACGAGGTCCTGGAGGAGGAGGAACAGCCCTGTACAGCAGGGTCAAGCTGTCTTCTAACCTGGTTTCCTAAGGAAGTGAGGCAAATGCGGCTTGGCTGGCTCTCCTTGTGTCTGTCAATACTCCTTGCGTCTGTTGGCTAAGTTCAATCCCCTTTGGCAGGGGAGCAGAGGATACAAACCTATTCATACACTTGACAAAGAAAAATAGCTGGGCGAAGAGAATGGAATGACTGGTTCTGTCGGAGGGAAAGGCTGCAGCCTGACCTCAGCCACAGTATTAGACATGGGAGAATCCACACAACCCTGAGCTTGAATAAATAAGGGCTACGGGAGAGCTCTGCCTGTGCCTGAAGCCCCTTCCCTGCTTGCATCTGTGGGAATGAGGTGGTTGAGTATTCCCCTCCCCAGATTTGGGTGCTCGCTTGAGACACGGGCATGAAGTTTGGTTCCTTCCTCTGACTGAGCAGATCTGAACCTGCAAACCCCAGCCTGCGGCAGAAGGGTGAGCGCACAGCCAGGTGCTGGTGGCATCGTGCTCCAGCTGCCCGGCCGTGGGGCTCCCTGTTCCCAATCCCAGGAGCATCTCCTCCGTGTGCATGCAGTCATTAAAAATTCATTGCAGTGCAGACTGAGCCGCTCTGGTGCCACAAGAGCCCCCGTTGCTGGGATGTGTGACACAGGGAGATGTTGACACTGTGATGAGAACAGGGACTGAGCCGTGAGCAACACGCTCCCTGTGCACACCTAGTGGCCTCGTGCCCCGTGTCCCCAGCCCTGCTCCGGGTGTCACCACTGCACTCAGAGCTGCCACCTCCGATCCCTATGGAGGAAGAAGACAGGATGACTTGTGTTCCCTGCGAGTTGCTAAATTAAAAAGCTGTCATTACCCCTGTCTGTAAGCAAGGCAGGGGTGTCAGGGATGCTCCCCGGTGGGAGCTGGGGCACTGCAGGTTGCAGCCATCGAGGCAGGTATGTGGGATTTTCCTTGTGGATTTAAGCACATTGGGACATTCCTCTCCTATCCCCTCCTCCCAGACACTCCAGGGCTTGGACCTGCAGGGCATCTCCGCCAGCCTCCCCCCTAATCCACCCCCAGCGGGCTCAGCTCTGCCTCTGTCATTCCAGACAGATGTGTGTCTGACCTGTTCTTAAAAACTCCCTTCTCTGCCCTGCCCAGTCAGTGTTGTTTGGCATTTGGTTGTTCTCATTGCTCTGTGTGTTTCTACTATTTAGACTATGTTTTGCTGCTTGCAGGGTGTGATTTTTGTCCTGTTTACTGTGGACGTCTCCTTGCTTCCATCTCAGTACTGCAACCCAGGGGAAGAGGTGGCAGATTTGAGTGTGGGAAGGGGTGGAATGCCGCCTGTCTCCCCCTTTGCCAGGTTACTACAGACCCCTCTGAGGCATCCCCTGGGTCCCTGCTGCAGCACTGCAGGAAATTGCACTTTATAGTCCCCTCTTTGCTCATTTGGGTGCTTTAATTCCTGTGTGATTTTCTCCCAGGGCCAGAAATAAAGTGGAGCTTTTCACCTCAGCCAAAGTGATTTTTCCTTAGGTCAAAGAAGCTATCCACAGCCCACAGTGCGTGGAACATACCAGTGGTTTGTGGGGCAGGGGTCACAGCTGTGTCCCGAGCCCCAGCCCCTCTTTTCCTCCCCATTCCCACCCCACAACCCCCTGATGTCTGCCTTTCTCCTAGGAGGCAGACAGCGGAGGAGCGGGAGGCCGAGCGGCAGCAAGCAAACCGCATCCTCATGCAGCTGCAGCAGGAGGCCTTCCAAAAAACCATCAACCAGCCCATCCAGGCCGACCCCATCTGCGTGCACAACTCCTCTCTCTTCGCCCTGCAGAACCTCCAGCCCTGGTCTGACGACTCCACCAAGATCACCAGCGTCACTACCGTCGCCTCCGCCTGTGAATAAGGGCCAGCACCTGCCGTGTCCCCTTTGTCACAGGGCACACGTGCGTCCCATGGATCATCCCTCTATGAGGACCAATGGGGAAGGGAAATTTGGCCCCCAAATTCTCCCTGCCTGCAGGACTGCGGAGCAGCAGCGGCTCGCCTCCCCCCAGCCCTTTTGTTCTTCCTAAAGTCTCTGGTGCCGGCCTCAAACTTCCTGACACGCTGCCAGACAAAGCTGAGCCCTGACAGACGTGGCCGCGGGCGAGTGCCCGGCTGGAGGAACTTCCTCTGTGTTCGGCAGGACTCGGGGCATCCCACAGGACTACCCGTATATACGAGGTGCGTCTGTAGGTACGCATTTCAGACTGACTGGAACAAAAGGATGCGGCTCCCTGGGAAGCGAGTTTGTGCAGCCAGGCACCATGCTGGGCTCTTGGCAGCTGGAGACGTTTGGGGATGCAACAAATGGAGAAAGCCACCCGTCTCTCGGCCTCCCAGCAGCAATTTCTGCCGGCAGCAGTGGCGAGCCCCTTGGATCTCACCTAGCAGCATCTCCTCCCCTTTTTCATTAATTTTTTTCCTGCGAGGGGGGAAGAAGTGAAGGAACTGACAGCCTCCTGAGGACGGTAAATGTGATATCTCAATTGCGCCAGGAGCCCAAACTGTCCCTGGCCGCCGTGGCCACGGCGTCGATCAGCCCGGGCTTTAATAACGAGGAGAGCCCGGCTGGGCAGGGCTGCTGCCGCTCTGTTCCGTGGGTTATTTCCATATCATTTGCAAAGCGTGGCCCGATGGGTTGTTTTACCCGTGTCCCTTTATGAGGCGGTTTGTGAGGGTGAAAATCAATTTCACTTCTGACTTTGTTGTTTCTTTAATTGTTCTGAGGGAATGAGACACAATTAAGCAAAGCACTTCCTATAGCAAACGCCGGGAATATATAGATATTATATATACAGTATATATTTTTCAGTTACTTATAATCTAAAACAGCACTGCCAATTTAAACAGCTAGTACAGGCAAGCGAGCAGAAAACCTATTTTCAGTGAGATTTTTTTAAAGCTTTTTTTTTTTTTTTTAAGTTATGCACTTATAAGGTGTTTTCTGTGTATTCATTTTATAAAGTGCTTGTGTAATTTATGTGGAAACGAAAAATAAAAGATAAAAAAAAAGGTCTCCGGGGTACTGAATAAATCATGGAGTGCTTTGCGCTTCCCTATTAGATCCCAGAGAGGAGACGTGGATCGGAGCTGGTGCGGGAGGCTCGGCTGCTTAAGATGAAAATAGAGTTAGTGTTTTTTCCATTTGGCTTTGCTTAAGTCTGCTGGGTTTGGAAGCTCTGGGTGGGTTTAACTCCCCGTCCCAGAGCTGTTCGTAGGCTCTGGCTGTGCAGAGCACCTGTGTTAATTGCAGGAACTGTGGCTCTGCCTTCAGCGCGGGTGGGGAAATTCCCCGAGCGGCACACACAGCACTGGGGCTGGCTGTTAGCAGTGGGACTGTGCAGAAAGCAGGGCTGAAGGGAAGAAAACCACCAGCAGCAGCATGGGGAATTATTCCCTGATGGGGAATTACTCCACGTTCCATCCGTGCTCAGCCTCGTTCTGGAATATCACCTCGAAAAGGAGGAGGAAAGCCCTATGGGTGGGAAAGTTCCACCCTGCTTCCCCCATGGGAGACCCCAGGGATTTGACCTTGGCTCCAGTCTGGCCCTTTCCTCAGCGCTGGGGCTGTGTGAGGATTGCCACCCGGCTGTCCCCAGCTCCTGGCCTAAGAAATGCCATCACACAGATCAGGACTCAGTCCTGGGCTGGGCAGTGCAGCCCGGAGAGGTTGGGAAGAGATAGTACAAATAAGCCATTTATTGGGGTTTGGTTTTGTTTTCCCCAAACCAAATATTGCAGGGTCGGATTCAGTACTTGTGGTCTTCCAGGATTTTCCTACCCTGCAGTCCAACACAGAAATGAGTGCAGAGAGAAACATCTGCAGAGGTGGAAAGACTAAAAGCAAAGAGGGGAAAAAGCGGAAAACGAAAAGAGAAAGCAATGGAGAATGCAGAGAGCACGGATTTGGGGGGATATCTTTAAAAGAGATGTTTACAAAGAAACAGAATTAAACAAGTCATGGGTGGTGGTTTTTTTTTTTCAGATAAATTTGACAGAAGCCTTTTGTTTAAATTCTGTTTGATGCCACAGTGAGGTCTGCAGGGGCCGGCCAGGCTCCTTGCTCAGTACGTGCCCAAGTGGGACGGCTGTGCTTTGGGCCTCACCTCCAGGAGGCATTGCTGCCCCAGGGCCGGGGGGCTCACGTTCTCCTTCCCGAGGTTTCCCTGCAGAAAAAAAGAAACCAACGGCCACAAAATAAATACAGAAGGGATCACACCACTCACCGCTGATATTAAAAGTGTTTTCTATTTTATTATCATGACACATCAATATCTTAAAATCTAATTCCAGGACAGCCATTTTATAATATCCACATTACTCGTTTCGTATTCCAAAATGTTTCCCAGCAATGCTGAATGTATGATAATGCACATTGGAGGGCGTGTGCTTAGATACAATATTTAGCTACACCTTCTGCTAGAGACTGTTGACTTCCTTCTTTTCTTATCAATCTTTCCTGTTTTAAAAAGGACCAAAAAGAAAAAAAGAGAATCTCGGTATGAAATGACAATGTATGTAACATTAGGGACGGAAGAATTCTTGTCTGGTCTTTCTGGCAGCAACTGCTGCTGGAAGGGGTTTTGTTAAAGTGTTTTTTCCTGGATTCATTTTTAAAATTGGTTTTGGGGTGGGAGGATTTTGCTATCTGCATACATGACGGTCTGTGCCCAGACAATAAGATTGCCTGAAACAGGATGGAATTAAATCCGTAAGAAATGATACAAAATGGTGACATACAGCTGGATGTTTAGACACATCTTGGGGCTGTGCTCACCACGCTGACGGCTGAGTTCGCTTTTTGTGCTATACCAATTTGGGAACAGGAACACGACTGCACTGAGAAGTGCTGGAAGTCATTTCCCCCTTCCGCTTATCTCACAATGTAGCAAATCCCAAACGTGAAACTGGAGTTAGTGCAAGTTGGTTTTTCAGTGTCTGTCCAACTGCCTTGAAGAAATACAGATCCAGCTAGAGAACTTCAGCTGGAGGAGAAAAATTGGCATGAAATGTGACCAAATGCAATGAGTTGCACTGGTTTGACTATGGATGTGCTGAGCTTTTGAAAGCAAAATTTGGAGTTGGGGCAGAGTGGGGGGTGGGGAGCACAGCATTGAAAGGAACACCAAACATCTGTGCGGAGCTGGAGGAGACAAAGTACAGCTGGATGGGCTGCAGTCATCTGGGCTCAGCCCCAGCTCAGCGAGCTCCGTGGGCACAGGGGAGAGAGAAGCCTGGTCTGCATTGAGAGGCCTGGTCCCCATTGAGCAGCACGGTCCGCATTAAAAGGCTTGGCCCCATCAGTAGCCCTGCTTCCATCGAGTGGCCTGGCCTTCTGCAACAGGCCTGGTACTCAACTAAAAGCCTGACCCCCACCTGGTCCCTATCCACCCAATCAGCTGAGCAGCAGGGTCATCCAAAATGAGAGATCGCTGCCTTGGCTCCACCAGGGCTGGGGGTGTTGCTGGAACCCTGAGCTGGGGGTGAAGGAGCATTCCGTGATTCTACAGAGATGAGCGTGCTCCATCAGCGTCCCTGGAAGCAGGCTGTAAGGGCGTATGTAGCTTCTCTGGGGCTGTGCTGTCCTGTCTGAGAGGTGTTTGGTGGCTGCCTGACAGCTCAGGATGACCGGCAGCTGGCATTTGTGAGAGGATCACCAGGCAGGTGTGCCTAGTCCCAGACACAGCTTGCTGTAATTAATAATAAAGGGAGGATCTGTTCCCACCAGCAGCACTGTATAGGATCATTCCT